TTTAAATCTCACCTACAAGATTGCATTTATTTATTAATGAATCTAACACTTGAGGTTGGAGGTAAAGGGGTTTTTTTTTAAATGTTGACTTCCACTTTATCACCCATTTCTTGGTCTCCAAAAGCCCACACAATCCGACGTTGAATGAGTATTTTTAAGAGCTAAGAAACTCATAGAAGAAAAGGGGTGGATCCTACAACAAAGTAAAATTTTCATGCAAAAGAGAAAGCTAAAAATTTTTCTTACCCTATGTTTGAGTTAAGGAGAATAGAGGGAATGAGAATTATATCCTTCCATTTCCCTCTTTTCTCTTCTCTTTATTTGAATAAATAATTAAATTAAAAGGAAAAATAAAGAAAAGTTTTCCCTCCTCTTCCTTTTAATTTTTTTAAGAACCAAATAGAGAATTTTTTTTCTCTCCCCTCCATTTTCCTCAAATTAAACATACTGTTAATGTGACATCTCAAAGAGAGGTGTTAACACTTTGCTTGAAAGTGGTGAAATGTCTGATATGGAATTTTGTTTAGTGGTGCAATAGGTTATCAACACTAGATGATGTCAACACCTAGTACTTGCTAGGTAATTTTTGCATCTTTTTTGCAATTTCTTCACTTTAACTTCTATTTGTGAGCATTTTGATCCAAAATCTTCATAGTTTTCAATTTGGTCCCCAATTGCAACTTTTTTTTTTGTGATGTAGTCCCTCAACTTTTTAAATATTTACTTTGAGGTCTCAAACTTTTATTTTTATGCATTCAAGTTCTTTCTTTACAAACAATAAAGACCAACCCATTCAAAAATCAATAAAATCCAAGGTAAAATAATAAATTAACATATATAGAAATTTGTCTCATTAGATGTCACATTCGCAAATTTCAAAATTTTTAATGTAGAGCAGATGCATACACATTGCAAATTCATTCATTCATTTCATATTGTGTATAATAATATTAATAATTAAACCAAAAAAAAATTGATGAACTACATTGAAAACATTTTATTCTCTTTTTATTTATTTTAAATGTTATGTTCTCTCACTCCTATCTTTCTTCCTTTTTTAAATCAAAAGTTGTAGATCTAATAAAGTCACCTTCAACTACAAATAAAAGGTGCACTCGATTTCAAAACTCTGATCCTTGTGTCAACTTTCCCCTATTTGCTTCAAGTTTCTCATATGCAAGTTCATGTTAGGCAAGGCTTCCTATGAAGATCTATTTCCCAAAGGGGCTTCCTATGAGGATCTCTTTCCAAAAGGAACTAAATCCATGCTATAATTGACATTTGCTTTTGCCCTTTTCCTAGCCTAATCTTGAACCCATTGTAAATCAATTTATTTTACACTTCTATAAAACATGCACACTTTAGCCTAGTTGACTAAAAATGGGAGGGACAAGGTAGGAACTAAGAGGAGATAATGGATAACTCATGGTTTGCTCCAAGATCCCTTAAAACTAGCCTCTTGTACTATTTTGCCTATGTGAAAAAAAAAAAAAAAATCTTCCTTTGCCTTTTTATGAGTCCCTTTGATTGGTTGCTAAGAGAGTTAAGGAGAACAATAAGGAGAGTGGAAGTGAGCTTTGCATCCTAGCTTTTGGATTAAAAGGGTGATGTTACAAGTTTTATAGGCATTTGAGATATTTCTTAAATTGTAAATACCTATAATGTTGGCTGTTGATTTTTTAATCTTCTTATAATCTAATTAGGGATGTCATCACCTCTTCCTTTAGTTTGAATATGATTTATGTCTTTTGATCCTCTACTTCGGATATAGTTAGGATTTTCTCCTTTTCACTAAGTCTATTTGAAAGATTAATTATCTTCATTAGTTTAACTACTGCAATTACAATTGAGAACAAATGTGCTGACGTTAAAAATGGTGGACTACAAATTAATAAACATGGCACATGAACCTCTTTGTTCACTTTGGGTACATTTGTTGTAGATTGTAACTTTAGGGCTTCTTTGTCACAAAAGTTTCCTTGAGGACTTGTTTGTAGGTTGTTGCTTAATTGATAACTAGTTTACTCTATACTTTAATGATTAAGATTCGGTTTTATGGGAGGCTAGTGAAGATAATTTCTCATGAATTCATTAATTCTAATGTAAATAATTTTCCTTTAACTGAATTGAAAAGAGATTAATCTCGTGATATGTATAAGTTAACCTTAGAATACCCTAATTGCTAAAAAAAACTTTTTTTTGTAACATGTGCATACGTATCGTGAGCCCATCACAAGTGTAGTCAAGACTACCTATTAATTTATTAAGACCACACAATATTGTTTAAATAATAATAATTTTGTTTGATTTGAGTGTTAAGAACAACTTATAACTAATATTTATTACTTTCTCCATTCATTTTTAGTAGTCCTAATTTGATTTTTTGATTTTTTAAATATAAATTTTAAATGAAAACTTAATAACTTATATGAACATTAATTGAAAATTTTTTTTAATATATGAATTTTTTGAGTTTTTTATTTGATAAAAAAAAATTTAATTATAATTTATATAATATATTAAATTTTCATCTAAATTTATATTTAAAAAGTCAAGAAATCCACCTAAAACTACAAAAAACAATCAAAAAGAGCACTTAATAAATTGAAAGTAGTTTATAACTAACAGTTCAAAAAAAATTACAAATATCAATTAAATTAAATATAATTTATGTGACCTTAACAACTATATATTAGCTGGCTATATAACCACACCACTCCCATTAGTCTCTGTATGTACTTACGAATCACCCCCTAAGAACTAAAAATAAACATCAATTTGTTTATTACCAACTCTAATTAAAGTTGCCTTATAATTTTAAAGAAACTTATTTTACAATTTAAATTATATTGAAATGTAAATAAAAATTATTAGATTAGGGAGAACCCAATATTAAAAGACTTGATTCTCATTTAATAATTAATATAATGCAATTCAAATTACATTTCTTTTTTTATTCTTAAATCAACATATTTTAAAAAAATTTTAAATTACTTATTCTTAAGTTATTATAAAATTCAAATCTTTTATTTTCACTGAAACATTATTATACATAGATGCTACTACCGTATTACAGCAACATGTTGAAACAGAAGAACTAAAAGTTACCGGACGAAAACTACAATTGCAATTAAACAAACAGATTACGAGCGATACTGCTAAATACCCGCCCCTGCCAAGTATCCTGTATGTATCTACCATCTGTATCTGCCTTTTCCAGAACAGAGCAGAACTGGAAACCCCACAAGTGAACTGAAAAAAGGACCTCTTTTAAATTATTATGCCCTGCATAAACTCCTATGTATATAATCTTAACTTAATTGGGTAAGTTTTAATTTATGGGAACTGAAGGCCGGTGAAGGTCTGGCCGAAGGACCAGTTTGGCGGTGCAATATTGTAGGAGACGACGGAGCGGCCATCGCTGGTGACCACCTTGAAGGAGAGGCTCTGTCCGTTGAAGAAAGTGTTACTTTGCCAGTTCTGGCCCCAGTTTCTTGACATAGGCTGCCACCTTGTTCTAGATCCTTTGATGAAAACAGCTCGAACGTCGCCAGTGCTTCCCACGTTCGTGACGAGGACCAGGTTGAAGTAAGAATGTCCGTTGATTGTGAATCTGATGCCTCCACTCTTCCTGCATGGTACCCTACATAATCCCACCCCATGAACCAACACTTAGCCAGTTTCTAAACCAAGATACAGGACAAATTACTGTGCATGTGGCCCAATTGTGTTCCAAACACTCTCGAAATTAATTAGATATCCAATATCCAGCCTTTTGAGAAAAAGTAATAAAAAAGTATTATCATTAGATAAGGTAAAAATAAGAACAAACTCTTCTCATCCGATAACTTATTTTTTTGAAGCATGGTGCATTGGACTCAAAAGTTAAGATCAAAACTTTGAAAGTTTTTATTATGAAATTATATATAAAATGATTTTCAAGACTACAAATTTTCAACAGTTAATTGAGAACTGTTTGATTTTTTTCAATGTTTTAAAATTTTAAATTTAATATTAAAACAAAGGAGAGATTTATCAAATGAAAGGGTTACAAATTCGATGTTATATGGTTTAATCATTTGCTATTTATGTTAACCAAAAAAATTAAATTTGTTAAGCTTAATTTGTACCTTCGATAAGCTACAGGTACAAT